CCGATCAGGTAACCGCACATACAAATGGCTAGCTAGGGTCATTAGTATACTGAATTACCTGGCTGGGTATTTGTACTGCAGCGCTGGGCTGCATCGGGAATGAACCAAGTTACCCCACAAATTGTATTTTGGGCACCCCTGACTGAAAACAAGGACAAGATAAATGACGTCAATTGGAGCTGTTATAGACTATAGGGCCCGATCTATTATAGATCTGCACAGACATAATCCTAGTCCAAATCGGTAATTAGATGTTAGAAGGTATTTGAAAAACCCTACAACTACCACACGTGCTGTATTATAGTTCCACGTCCCTGGTTTAGATCCATTCATGTTCCTCAGTAAGATTATTATTCAGGATATCTCAGCGCTAATGATACAGTTCAGATTGTATGTTTTCCCTTTCAGTCCTGCTGGCACCCAGTGACACTGATTTCATTGCTCCCTAGGATGTTCAATAACCTCCTGTGCTTTTTCGGTCTCCTAACAAGCGAAATATCTTGCAGCTCTCCAGAGGCCTGATCAGTGCAAACTGTTCTGCAGCCACTGAAGCTGAGCCATATTCAGGATTCGAGCGATTGCTGCTTTTTGGACAGTCTGTCTGTTAAGAAACCACGTCTGTGAATCTATTTTTTTTTTCTTTTTAAGGCAAAACAAGCCAATAAAAATCACTTTTGCTCCCCAGAGCCGAGAACGGCACGTTTGGACATTTCTTTCAAGTATGTTTTCTAGTCTGAAAGCGCGTTTAAGTGTTTGCACAGCAAACAAAGCCCAGAACTGGGGGTAGATTAGTTTGGAAGGACGAAGACGCTCGCGCTCCAAACCAGCGTGTTTTACGTCTGGCCCTGGCGACTGCTGGGAGCCAGCAGAACCTTCGCACAGTGACCATGCTTATGCCTGCTGGGAGCTCGCCTCAGCGTGGAGTGGAGCTGTTCTGGGAGGGCAAGGGGTGGAAAAGATATGGTGAGTAAGGGCTGGGTTGTGCCTTCTGGGCGGTGGCAGGCATAGTGCAGAGTCACACCACCCTAGTGTGAACACCAGGAGAACATAGCACACACTGCCCACCCCCTAAGACAGTGCAGTGTGTATTCACCTCTGCAGTTAGCCAGCCTGCAGTGCTCTCTGCCCCCTTTGGGGGAGCATGTGTCCTGGGGGCACAAGGACTGGGACTGTGCACAGTGGGGGTGGGAAAGGTGCCTTGTACCTTTCCTCCCACCTTGGGCAGCCTCCCAAGAGCCAGTCACAGGCTGCCGAGGAAGCTTTGACTTAAGCAGAGTGTCAGGGGAGTGGGGCCAAAGAACGGACAGCGAGTCAAGTGTCTGCCCCTGGATTTCATTTGCCAACCAGATTTTTTGCAGCAGCTGGCATTCATAAAGCAAAGGCTGGAAGAACAGGCTCCCTAGGCAGCGAAGTGGTGTCTGCCCAGCATGCTGCGATGAGGGAGAGCAGCACAAGTGACCCGCTGCATCGGCTCAGCTACAGACGTCGCTGTGGCAAGGGCTGGTGTGCAGAACAAATAGCCGGCGGGATTCCTGAAGGCAAGACTACATCAAAGCGGAGCCAGCCTGGCAAGGGACGGCCATTTAGTTTGCCTTCTGAGTCTGGCCTGCCCCTTGTGACCAACAAGAGCAGGGAATTTAACAGGTAAGGCTGAACTGCAGCTTGTAAGTCCCCTGTTGGAAGTCTAAAGGGCTCATCAAGGGGAAATCAGGTCCAGATTGTCCAAAAAGGTGCAACCTTGGGGTGGGCTCTTCTAATTTTAGAGTGAGTGTGAGGGGGATTAAGTTCCAATCTGAGAGCAGGAATACAGGTTAAAGGACCTTGGGGTTCCCCTTCAGCTCATGGGAAATGGAGCCTCAATTTACCACTCTGTCCACTCTTTGGAAAGCCCTGAACAGCCTCGGGGTCTGTCTTCACTGCAGAGGTAATTTGGGCTCTTGCTCAGACATTGGCCCTAACACCCATCCCGTCCACAAACACAACCCTCCCCCCTGAGTCTGGTGGTGCTGTGGAGCTGGGTTAGCGCTCAGTGGCTACTTTCACTCGAGCTGGTAACCCACCCACTTTGCAGTGAGGACACAGGCTAAATCACTTGTGTGCCAATAGTCCTCCAAACTATCCCAAAATTTCCCTCCATGCACCCGGAAGGACAGACAAGTTCTCCCACAATTCACTGGGAAGGGATTACAGAGCGGCCCAGTTGACCACTGCACAAAGGACCATAGGCTATGCCCCCTGAAGTCTACTGACGCACATGGGGAAATGCAAGGCCCCAGTAGCTTGTGTGGCTTTGCAGACAACTCAGACCTGGATGCCATTTACCCGAGTTAACTGTGCCATGAAGACATACCCTAAGTGGGTTATGGTAGGACACCCCCCCAACACACACACACACACACATTTGAAGCTGGATAGTTTGGGGCAAATACTATGCTCCTTTATGTCTGAAGTCAATGTGCTGGACAGAGCAAGTGCACAGCTTTCAGTGCTAGCGGTGTCACTGCAATCAACACTTCCGAGATACATTAAGACGTCAAGTTAGTGTCTGAATAAAAAAATATGCTTCTTTAAAACAAACAAACCCCCCAAGCATGGCCCTGGTTCAGAAAGGAAAGAGTTCTGGTTACACAAATGAATTGCCTTTCCCCATGGCTTTTGAAACAGAACGTAAGGGGGCTGTTGGCCCCGTACTGAAACTCAGTGGGGTTTTTTGGCTGGCCATCTCACAGTACCAATAGAAGGGGGATGGGCCGATGAGAAATCAGGACCCTGAGACTGACGCTCCCTGGGGGCAATGGGAGAGGACAACGCTCCAAGTCACCCTGATTGACAGGGCAGGCTGGCCAATGAGGGAGGCCGGGAGGCCAGGAGTCCCGTCCTCCGTGGGAGCGGGAGCTGCCTGGGCCCGAGCGGAGCCGGGGAGCAGGCCTGCGCCGGCCAGAGAGAACCAGGGAGCTGCGCTGGAGGCAGAGTGGGGCCGGAGCCGGGTGCGGTGAGCAGCTGGGGAGCGTGAGGGGGATCTGGGCAGTGGCCCGGCGCAGGGAGACGCCCCCAGCCAAGAGGCTTTGCATGGAGGGGGTCGTAACCCCGACGAGGGGCGACGCTGGGAAGAAGGGCCCGGCCACCTAGAGCCACCGCCAGAGCAAGTCTCCGACCCGCAGCATCCCTGCAGCACAGCCAGGGCCTGGGCAGGGGCCTGGGCCGTGCGAGGAACAGACTGTGAACTGCCCGGATGTGCCAGAGACGCTGTTTGGGGTTCCCCCGTGCCCACAGAGACGTGTTTTCGCCTTTCCCATGTTGTCCTTGTTTTTTAATTGGTTGCTGTTTAATAAATTGTATTTGTTTTGAACTACGCGCAATGATCAGTGGGTCAGGGAAGGGTCCAGAGTGGAGAGAGCACCCCGGAGTGAGGTCACCTTATCCCCTGTCCTAAGTGACCACCACAAGATAGGGGGTCGAGTCCCCGCAGGAATCCTGGATTCAGCCTTCTCGGGGTTACGAGGGCTCTGCCACATAGGAGAGTTGAAGGGGAGCCCTTGAGGTCAGGCAGGGTAATGGGAGTGGGAGCGAGGACTCCGATCCTTTCGCTAGCCGATTCCATTGGGGTAGTGTGTAAGCTAGGAACGTTCCCCACAAGAGCAGGATCATTCACCCGCTTACGTAGAAGGAAACCTGATCTTTTCAAATCAGTTTTTTTTAAATATCTGGAGGGGTTTGTTTGTTTGTAGTTTATCATGGCATTTTTAACAGCTGTGGGCGTTCATGTGATTACAAACTTTCTGGGCAAGGAGTCTGAGTTATTCCTTATTATTAGGTGTTGTAACTTGGCTGGTCATGTGTACACTGAAATAACTGAATCAGAATTGCAGCAAGACAAATACAAAACAAAACACTGGGCGGGGGGGGGGGAGGGACCAAATAGACATTAACTTCCAGAGCTGTTTAGCTAAAAAGCCTGCAGGAGTTACAGATAACATTTTCAAGAGCATCTAAGTCCCATTTGCCAAAGTGACATAGGCACGTAGACACCTACGGTCTATTGATTTTAAATGAGACTAAAAGTTTGTAAGTGCCCAAGGCCCAGATCCTCAAATATATTTAGGTGCATAATTCCCCTAGGAGTTAGGTATCTAAATACCTTTGCGGATCTCAGTTTGTCTCCTTTGAAAATGGAACTTAGCCTCCTAAATCACTTAGGTGCTGTTCAGAATTTTACTGTAGGTGTCCAAACCCCATACAAATCCAGTGAGAGTTAGGTGTCTAATTCCTTTTGTCTCCATTGACAATCCCAGCCCTGTTGGCCAGTATTCACAAAGCAGTAACAGCTTTGGGATCTTGTATTGCTTTCTTACCCCTCTGCGTAGGCATTGTCATTTACTGACGCACTGTTGCTTAGCATTGTTCCTGTTGTAGTCTAATCAACACAAAAGTCCCACTTGTAGGTACATCAAATAATCCTTGTGGGTGATGCTGGATGGGTTCATTTTTCATAACTATGGGCATGATTTCCTTAATTCCTTTCCTGGCCAGAGCCGTGCTTGTCTTGCTGCAGTTTATCCCCAGAGGGAAATGAAAACAGCTAACAACAGATCAGTACAGCGATACCACATATGGAGTACTGCACTAAAACAGAGCCTGCCAGAGCACTGTTGTTCTCTTTTCTCGTTCCCTTTCAATGCTGATGCCAGTTGAAGCCCTAGAGCGGACGGTTTCCTCGGAGCTTAGATACAAGTGAAAGTGAGCATTTAAAAAAGAGCAACCAACTTCCCTCTTCCAGCTTCAGCTCACAAAAAAATAAAGTACCAGGAGGTTAAATCCATTCTTTGTGAAGAAGAGGTGGGAAAAGGGTGTCAAATCAGTCTCTGCTAGCAGGGGTCTGTCTCGGGGACAAGGCGACATGCAGACGCCGTCTAACCCAGTGACAGGATCTGTTAGTGCCAGATCTCCGAGAGCTTGTAGGTGGCAGGGAGGGATCAGCCAGGTTTGAAGCTGGCTGCTGGTGCTGGCACCTTCTGAAGGCTGCCCACCTCCGTGTTTTTACAGCTGCATGGGAAGTAACCAGCTTGGGGGAGGAACAGAGGGTAGGAATAGGCGGTTCCTTTCATTGTCCTTGGATGAATTATTACTATTGTGCACTATTACCGGACTCAGCAGGCTGGCGATGAGCCTCGGCCCCATTCTGCTGAATTTTGGAAACATCTGTCCTGTTGACAGTCTTCAACTCGGAGTTTAAAATTCTGCTCCTGCTAGGGTCTTTATCATCTCATATAACAGAAAAGACTTTTGGTCCTCAAGGAATTGCCCTTGAAAGCATATTCTCCTACACCTAGTTAACCTGATTGTCGTAAGCTGCCTTTGCATAAAATCAGGTTAATCCTGAATTAGATCTGTCCTCTCTGTGTGTTTTATCCCTGTTAGCTAAGCTTTCTGCCATTTTCCCTGGCTTGCATCCTCCTTAGAATGCAAATCTCCCCTGAAGCATTCCATTCTCGGCTCCCCTAGAAGCCCCTTGCACGGTATCCCGCTATGGCATGTAAACATCTGGCTCCTCAGAAGGGTCTCGAATGAGAGTTTGGCACTTGCCTATTCTGGAAAGGCTGGTGCCCTGTCAACACGATCGATTGTCTTCCCTGTTTTGGTGACAATTTTTTTAAAAAAAAAAAGTTAAATCGGAGGTCACTGTGGTGCTGCAATGCAATCCTGGAGCAGTCCTCCAGATGCGGATTCGGAGTGGGATCGATGTTTTATGCAATTAAAAATAACAAGTATCTTCTCTGTGTTTAAACACTAGGAGAAGCAGGCAGATAGCAGCTGTGCAGGTTGGATGGTGAGTCTGCAGCTGGTCTTCTCCGATCAGACAGGATCAGCTTCCAAGGCACTGCTAAGTCGTGCCTACGTGCTAGAGAAGACCCACGGAGCTGGGAAGCAGCACTATAACATATGGTAACTGCAAACCTAGGGCCTTTGCTGTCTGATTTCATTGAAATGCTATTTAAAATAGAGATGTGTCAAAAAATAAAATAAAAATCCAGAGCGTGAACATCAAAAATGTCCCACAACACACGCCAGCCTTGTGCTGACCAAATCCATAAAGAGTACGACCCCTCTAGGCCTCCTCTTGGAGCAGTTCAGATGCGTCTAAGACCACGCACGCCCAGCCGCTAGTAGTCAAGGGCCCGTTGCCATCAATGAAGGCACCTGGCCAAATCTGTCTGTCCGGAGAGGCCAGCGAAGGACGCGGCCTTGTGGTCGTCAGAGCCCCCCACGGGCGGACGAAAGGGTCTCGCTGTAGATGACGCAGGGGCTGGTTTCTTCGCACAGCTCCAGCTGCACGCTGGATGCGAACCAGCGCTTGGCACAGCCCAGGCTGTAGGTGAGGGTGGTTCGGTAAATGTTCTTGGTGCGTTTGGGGAAGATGATGGTTGTGCTCTGGAACCGCAGGGGCTTCTGTCGGGGCTCGAAGATCAGCTGCGACTTGTAGTTCCTCCAGGTGCAGTTTGGCGTGGCGATGACCGTCTCGCTGTAGGCAGTTATGGTGGGGATGGGTCCGTAGAAGATGTCGTCCCTGTAGTGTTTCTCTGAGTCATATTTCACCTCCGAGTTGCATCTGAAAAGGGCAGCGAGAAGTCAGGCAGCGAAGGGAGCGCATAGGACAGGAGGGCTCTGTGCTGACCCGCTCCTATCTTCTGCCACGATCTTGCCCCAACCAAAGCAAATGGTGCTCTAGGGAGGGCTGGGCAGATGGACCCTCTGGCGCAGAGCAGCAGCAGAATGCCCTTGCTGCAACCACAGGTTTGCAATAGCCATCTCCGTTGCTGCAGCCACCCATCTCCTGGTTGTTCTGCTTAGTTGTGAATCCATGATCCCAACTCCCCATGGGTGGTGGGGCACAGGGATCCCCACTGGAGCCTGGCTGCCTGCCATAGAGAGGATTAGGACTCCCTGCACAGGCACATGGGTTCCTGCCCCTTTCCCTGGACAGCAGAACAGCTCTGGTTTGGTTGCTCCACAGTGTCATCCCTGCTCCCTCCTTGGGCCTTAGGGTTGTCCCGGCCCTAAGCCAGGATCCCTTTTAGCTGAGTTCCACAGTGAGAGCAAGCCCAGACACAGTGGTGAAGGGCACAGCTGTTGGCCACTTGTTGCTGGTGCCCCGTGTGTGGGAGGCAGAGGAGTTGGAGAGAAACAGATGTTCAGCCAGAGGCTGGAAGGGTGAGCCTCGTCAAGGATTCCTGACATTTTAGGTGCATCCGGGGCCCACCCCTGCTTTTCCACCACGTGGTGTGCTGGCTTCCTAGTCTCTACCCGAAACACATCAGTGGTCTCTGGCAGAGCTTCTGCGGCTAGTCTCTTGGAGCATTGCCATCAACTATGATGGCAAAGGATTCCCTTGATTCTTAAATCATGCTGCATAAGGGAACAGATTGTCATCATGCAGCACACCACCTTCCCCTGGCATTGTGCCGGAAAGAGGCAGCCCTCCCTTACGGGTAGTGCACAGGGAGCATGGGAAATGGACATGCAAGCTGGGTGAAAACTGCCTCTATTGGTTCATGCTCCTGTACTCCTAATGGGGACCCTTAGGTGGCCCTAAGGCGGATGCCTTTCTGGTCTCTGCTGTGCACCAGTGTCAGCTCCTGCCCTCACTTGGCAAGAAAATAACACCCTGGACATGGTTATTAAAGGGAGATAGAGGGGGCTTGATTGAGTTGTTTAACACCTTCTGCCCATCCCTCCCATATTAGAGCAAAGGGTCACCTGCCTAGAGCAATGACAGCTTGATTTACATGTCACCTAGAGCACAAAGCCATTGCCCCCAAACTAGGCTGCAGTAGGGAAAAAGGGAGTGAAGTGACCCAGCACAACCTCAAAAAGCTGTGCCAAATGGGTAGAGGAAATCCTGAACTAGCCATAAACCAAGGAGCATGAGGGAGTGGATGGAGATTGCTTGATGGTTTGGGTTCTACAGAAACGCCAGTGATGGGTCAAAACTAGGGCTGTCAATTAATCGCAGTTAACTCACGTGATTAACTCAAATCTAATCATGATTTAAAAAATTAATCGCAGTTTTCATTGCATTGTTAAACAATAGAATATCAATAGAAATTTATTAAATATTTTTGGGTGGTGTTCTACATTTTCAAATATATTGATTTCAGTTACAACACAGAATACAAAGTGTACACTGCTCACTTTATATTATTACTTTTGATTTCAAATATTTGTACTATGCTTTGTAGCATGCTTTCAGAAGTCTTAATAGAGCAACACTTCAATGCAGAAACTACAGAACCCGAACCACCAAAAAAGAAAATCAACCTTCTGCTGGTGGCATCTGACTCAGATGATGAAAATGAACATGTGTTGGACCGCACAGCTTTGGATTGCTATCGAGCAGAACCCATCATCAGCATGGACACACGTCCTCTGGAATGGTGGTTGAAGCATGAAGGGACATATGAATCTTTAGCGCATCCGGCATGTAAATATCTTGTGACGCCGGCTACAACAGTGCCATGAGAACACCTGTTCTCACTTTCAGATGACATTATGAACAAGAAGCGGGCAGCAATGTAAACAAAGTTGTTTGTGCGACTGGCTGAACAAGAAATAGGACTGTGTGGACTTGTAGGCTCTAAAGTTTTACATTGGTTTATTTTTTAGTGCAATTTTTTTGTACATAATTCTACATTTGTAAGTTCAACTTTCATGATAAAGAGATTGCACTACAGTACTTGTATTAGGTGAATTGAAAAATACTATTTCTTTTGTTTTTTACAGTGCAAATATTTGTAATAAAAATATAAAGTGAGCACTGTACACTTTGTATTTTGTGGTGTAATTGAAATCAATATATTTGAAAATGTAGAAAACACCCAAAAATATTTAAATAAATGGTATTCTATTATTGTTTAACAGTGCGATTAATTGAGATTAATTTTTTTAATCGCTTGACAGCCCTACAAAATCTCAACCCAAACAGGGAGAAGCTGCAAGGTCTGGTTCACGCTGCCTACACACAACGAGCACTGCGGGGCTTGGCCACCATTAAGATGGGGATAAAAAATAGACACCAAGTTCATTAACAATGGCTCTTCTAGCCTTGTTGGTTTCTCTATCTATATTCCATTGTGCACCTAACCTTCTCTACTTGCTCATGTGCACAAGCCGGTAACCCTGCAAGGTAAATATCCTTAAACTGTATGCTCTTTGGGACAGAGACTGTCTTTTGTTTGTTCTGTGTCCGTACAACATCTAGCAGCATGGGGTCCTCGTCCATGATGGGTTCCTAGGTGCTACAGTTATACAGATGATAATAAAAAATCTGGTTTTAGTAAAGCTTAGACTGTAGGGAACTGTGGGACTTTCATGCGTTTTACTGCTCCAAACCTTTCAACTGCAATCAGCAGGTAAGGAATTTGCAGCTCTGTGAAAAAAGATTAAAAGCTGGGTGTGTCCACGTCAATTACCTCCACCCTGGAGGGAGCCTGGAGGATTATGTGGCACACGTAACATGATCTGCCTTAATGTATTTTGCACAGCTAGGTGTATAAGCAAGCAAGTCGCTTGGTGCACATAAAACAAGACTCCTGTGTAATCGTCATAAAAACATGCCTGCCAGCTGTTCCTGGATAACCAGACATTTATCCGGGTACGTTCCCAGGACAGTCTTTGTGTGGGTTGGGGGGAGTTGTATTCACAACCTCCCCCTCCCTCTAATTATTACCACAAGCTGGGTGAGTAACCATACTGAAAATGCACGTTGGTGTTTTTAAAGTGAATTCCAGGCTGGCAAGAAGAGACCCAGACTGTGAGCCCTGGTACCGTGTAGGCAGCAAAGCACCAGCCTCCCAGCATTGAATGTCAGCAGGCCTCTGTCACGGGCTAGAAGGACTGCCCTTAGGGGCAGAGGATAGACTGCCCCATGGAGATGGATCTAACCTTGGCCTCTCTGTTGCGAGCAGCAATAAAATGGACGCCAGTTATGGAGACCACCAGCTCGTTCCGCGTTGGCCACCAAACAGCATTCCAGATGGTAATGGTTTTCTATCCCGGCCTGCGCTGGATTTGATATAATCTGGAAATGAAGACCTCCATCTCCTATTACCAACCCCGGAACCACCCTCGCTTCCACCACCCCTGTCAGTTTCTTTTTAGTTCAGGAATTAATCTCCCACTTCCTCCTCCCCTTCACCCCTAACGAAATAACCGTGACACCCATTGATAAACACCGTTAATCTTTTGCAGAAGAAAATGTACTGGGGGAGGGAAGAAACCCCTCCATATGTACCTAATTTCCTGCACAGGTTCAGGGTTGACCTCAATGCTTTCGCCAAAGAACACCGGGAACATTCGAGGCCTCATCTCTGGCACAGAAGAGTTCACAAGAAGGTAAGGCATCTACAGGAAAAACAGGGAAAGAACAGCACTTCAAGCATTAGGACACAGCAGAATGCTGCTGGTGTTATTTACGACATACACTGTTCAGTCATTGAGCATGCCACCGGCGCTATGGCCAAATTCAACCCTGGTGAAGGTGGGTGCAACTCCTCTGAATTCAGACCCCCCTGGGTTCATGCTCTGCTGGGACTGCCCAAGAAGACATCCTCTGTGGCAGGTGCTTTTTGTGACGTGGACACGGGCTGGAGAGACAGCACCAACTCATGTCAGACTGCTGGTGGTAATTGCTTTACATGACAAGGGGCCAAACTTTGCTGCCAGCTAGACTGGTGTAAATCCCAGGTAACTCCACTGACTTCCATGGAATAACTGTGGATTCACCCTAGTGTAAATAAGATATTCTGGCCAATGACTTCATTGGCATTGCACTCAGTTGCACCAGGTCTGAATTTGCCCCTCCCACTCCCTCAAGGCCCTTTAACTCCCACTTACAGTCCCTCTTACTTCTGGGAGCAGAGTAGGGCTCGCAATGGTTATCCAGTCGATCTGTTCGTGTCAGTGCATGGGGAGAAGGGATTCTTCCTTACTCAGGTTACAAAGCTCAAAGGCTCATTTCTCAAAGGGTTGGGCCAGATCCTCAGCTAGTGCATGCTGGGGTAGTTCCTTTGACGTCAACACCAATTTAAATCAACCCCCGAACTGGGAGGTGCAAGAATAGGCGCTTCACGGACTCTGATCGGCTTTTCAAGTGGTTTGGCCCGATGGTGCATCCCCACTAACACTGTCTGTACTTATGTGGTTGCTTTCATTTCTCCCACCCTGGTTGCAACACCAGAATTAGCATTACACAGCTGAGCCTCTGCCAGCACCACCCTAGACACTGCCAGTAGCCGTCCCATCGCAGTGCCTCCTTCTGAGCGCCCAGCCCTGACGTAAGCTGATCTAGCCCTACAATCCAGGGTCGCCTCGCTACCCTGCAGAGTCTTTCATTTGGAATGTTATCCCCTTCCCGTATATCTTTTTCATTTGAATTATTCTTTTCTTCCCTTATTGCTCCTGCTATTGTGAGCCAGTGAGACTAGATAGTTTTCATGTGGGGTCCCCTGCTCAAAATGGGCCTGATCAGCAAAGTTCCAGATCTGGAGGTGGATCTAATGTTTGGGAGGGGTGAGGTGGTTCAGACCTGCTGTGGGTCCATCTATGTTTTGTATATTCCTTCCTCTCCTGCTGCTGCTGATCTACATAGGATGAAGCCTGCCTGGATACTCACTGCTTAACCTCTGTCTTGAAATGTCGCTGCCCAAGGATCATGAGGAAAATCCTTCCTGGGGCAGGGATCTAACAAAGCTTTGAGTCTCAAAACGTTTTCCAGTAAGCATTGCGCATGAGAGCCTCAGTGGCTTTGTTTCCCCCAATGAGTGCCCTGTTCTGGGGCAGTACATAGTGATGCACTAATGCCCACTTACTCCAACGGGAATGGAGGAGTGAAAACATAGGCCACATTCCCCCGCCTGCTATGTCCACCTTGTGCAGGGGAAGCATCTCCCGCTACCCCTCCTCCACCAGGGGGAGTGTCAGGGCGTGGCAGAGCAGAGCTCCATTGCCCCCGATGCTCCTTCGGAGTATGGCCCCTGGGGGGCTGCAGCTCCAACTTGCACCGGGGCAGGGCAGCTCTGCATCAGGGAGCTGCAACTAGCCCCCTCTTTTGGAATGGAGCATCCAGCCTGATGTACCTTGATTTGGGCTATTCACCCCTGCAGCTGAGTAGCCCTCCTGGTCCTTGCTCCTCGCTAGAAATACTGCAATCCCCAAATGTCCAGGGGACCTGCAGGGAGGCAGAGCGCCTATCGCTGAGTTCAGCAAACAAGCCATTCACTGCCCCACAGCTGTTTCTGCTTTTTCTGCACCAATGAACACCTCCTGGAATGTTTGTTCCTCTAGCCTAGGAGACCACATTCGGACATGGTGGAGATTAATTGGTGCCTTTTGTTATATTTTCTCAGCCTTGTGAATCTGGGGCTTTAAAACAAAGTGACATAGAGCACTGGGATAGACTCTGAGCACCTTCTCCTGAAGCTTGGGAATGTAGCTGCTTTGCAACTTCTATATGGGACGATGTCAGAAAAACTAGGTTCGGTGGGGAGGGCACAAATGGAAGATAAGTACCCAACTCCCATCGAAAATCAATGGGATTTGGATGCCTTTGAAAATCGGTCTTTTAGTCTTAAATGTTAGTCGTCAGTGGAAATCGCATCCCATTCTATAATAAAGTCAATATCCTGAACATCTAGAGCGCCTCCCTGCTGACTATTTGAAACTCACTTTGCAAACATTTCAGCCTCAATATCTTCTTAGTGAAGCAAACTAACAATGGGCAAACACCAAGGATTCCCCTTTATCCAAAGCACCAACGTTCAGGGGTTCAGACAAATAATTCTCAGTTTGACTCGTCTCTAAAGCAAACCAAATAAAATGGATTCAGACAGCTTGGGGAACACTGAGGGATTCCAAATTTCTAGTTACTCTCTTGTCCTCTATCAAGAAACACGTTCTTCCTCTCTCTGTATTCCTCCCCGAAGTACGGAGTAAATTTGTGCATGCCCTACATTTTAGATTTTGACCCAGTCATTTATTCAGAACCCTTGAACACCTTAGTAGCTGTTCATACATAAAGCCTAATGGGAAAATAATCATCTATATGGTCTGATTGATGATCAGTAGGGGGGAAGTATTGGAGGACCCATAAAGTTCTCTGAAATAATGTTGAGACAAAGAGCTTCTTCCAGCAATATAATGTAGCTGTCTATTCTCACAAAGGCCAGTAGCTTCTCTAGCACACAGGAAAAGCTGCTTAAGTCTCTTTCTCCTTAGATCTGGGGCCAGATTCTCTGCTGGTATAAACTGAGGTGGCTCCATGGAAGTTACTGGGGCAGAGTTTTTGCACTGAAGGCAATTAACCGTTGGAGCAACTTACCGAGGGATGTGGTGGGCTCTCCATCATTTGAAATTGTTGGGTGTCTTTATATGAGACGTGTTCTAGTGCAACCACAAATTATTGGGCCTACAGCAGGAATTACTAGGAGAAATCTTATGGCCTGTGTTGTACAGGTTGGACTGGATGACCACAACGGTCCCTTCTGGCCTACAAATTTATGACTCTATGGAACTGCTTCAATTTACATCAGCAACAAATCTGACCTCTGAAGTTCTTGGCAGGGAGGAGGGGCTTAGGGGTAAGGCATTTTCAGAAATGTGCCACAGGACATGAAGAAGGCTCCCTGACTACCAGGAAAACTAATCATGAACTCCTCTCCAGCATAATGTCCTTAAACATAAGTTCCCAGATCGAGTGAGCCGGCATCTGCTGTCTGGAGCCAGTGCAGCTGCTACGTTAGCTCTGTGGTACTCCCTTGGAAGGCTGCCGTTGTGTGTTTCAGTCCCCACAGCCACTTTGCCGTTGGTTTTGATTTATGAAACACAGGAACCTGGTGTCCCTCTAGGGAAATGTCTGGCGGCCTCTGGGCAGAGTTTAAAGGTGTCTAAGGCAGGTGAAAAACCCTTGAAAACATAATTCTCTCCACCCTGTGCAAGCTGAATCTATGCATGACAGAACCTGAGCCCATTTCTCAGCAGTCGCCCATTAAATAACAGTGAATAGCCTACGAATGTGGAGGATCCACTTGACGGTAGCTGACTGGATGGCTTCTAGCTTCCCTCTCTCTTTGAATTGTCTTTCATCTCTGGGTTCCTTACGGCTGGGTGGATCTGCTGCGATGGTGCACTCGGCCCAACAGGCCGCAGGAAGTACTGGCAGTCTCCAGAGGCCCTGTGCTAAGAAGATCTCTAACTGTCTCTGCAGAGGCAAGAGGTTCTGAGATGCATCAAACTTTGGGGGGCTTAGCCTGAACTGAAAAGTAAGACTTTGGAGCTTCTACTCCATGCCCAGACAACGTAGTTCTAGAAAATAAAAAGCAAGACCTAAATACTTTTCTAGAGTGAAATTCATGCCTGTGCAGAGGGCCAGCTCCAGGCCTATGCACCACTTAAGTTTCCTGTAAGCCCCCTGGGCCATATCCTCGGGTGATATAAATTGGCATAACTCCACTGACTTCAATGGCACAATCCCGATTTACATCAGCAGACCACCTGGGCTTAAGTGGTGCGTAAGCTGAGAGCTTTTGCTTTTGACTGGCAATGAAGTTTCAGCATTTCATCTGAATTCTCAGGACCACAGACTCCAGTTTATCGCGTTGCTCTATTACCAGCCAGTTCTTTTTAAACCAGTGAGATTAAAAAAAAATCCCTCCTTTTATCAAATGTTGCTGCTCCATCATCGATAATAGCCAGTATTTGCACAGTGCTATGGAAAAGGCTTGTCTGCACTGACTTTCATCTCCTATCCAAATGGGAAAGGTCATTCCTGCTTATTCCTGGCTCACATTCAACACTCATGAGGAAGGGGTGGGCATTTCTATTTGTAAATAAAGCTCTTTGCCTTTTGCATGTGATTCTTTTACAGGGCTATTTTCCATGACAGTATAACATGCCTTGCCTTAGATCGGTATGCTAGCTTTCACCTCTTGTCTGTGGCTAGTGCTCTGTTTGAAAGCACCTAATCTGCAAGGGTTTTTTGTTGTTGTTGTTTGTTGTTGTGGGTGGGGGCGGGGGAGGCAAATTGTACGCAGACACATTTGTAGCATCGGGTAACTGCAAACATGCACCTGCAAACCATTGCAGATTGCTTCTACTTGAGTGGGAAGCAGAGCTGGGAATATGCATCCCTCAATATGCACCCATTGGGAATGCGCAAGCGAGAGAGAAACGTAACTAGCTGTTGGGTGCTCTCAGTGTGACCTGCACAGGCAGAAGTAGTAAAATGGAAAAGAATAACATGCTGAAGACTGTTTAGACACAGCCTGGTCTACTAGGTGCCTTCTTGTTCTGTAACATCAGCAATCAGCATGTATTTTTAGTGCAAAAGAATTTGCTGGCTTTGTCTT